AGCACTGAACCCTGGACCTTCGAACTGAGCTATATTCCCATTATCTTTAAAAAAAAAAATTGTTTGATCATTTTTTTGTGCCTAAATCTCGTAATAACCTGAACTACTTTAAGATAACGATATGCAACATACTAGTGTTAATTTCCTACTTTTCAAAAAAAAGTTCTGTATCGTTTTTATTCTTTTTTTTGTTTTGCTTTTAAGATAAAAAAATTTTTTTAAGTCTTAATTTTGAGACGTGGTCTCATTAAACAACCCAGACCGGACTAAAATTAGCAAACCTGCCTTTAATCCTAGAGTTTTGGGATTAAAACAAGTGCGCCACCACGCCCGGCAGAGTTCAATTTAAATTCCCCAGAACTGCGGCAAAGCTAGAGGAGAGGCGACCCGCGCGGAGCGATTCACCTGCCGCACCTTTACTACGTAGAAGGGCACCGATCCGGAAACTGAAACGCGCCGCCTGCATCATCCGGTCTCTGCCGTACCCCGCCCCCCGGCCCGGCACACACCTGGCACGCTGCAGGAACGATCAATGCCACTCGAGGTGGGCACAAGAATAAGGGCCACGACCCGGGCGCACCCCACGGCTCCCAGGGACCCACGCCCGCCGGGCGCCCCAATCCCTCCTTGGCTGTCACCTTATGCCTAAGCGCAGCCCCTTCCCTGTACCTCTCCCTCGCGTGGCCCAAAGCGTGGGTTGTAGATGAAAAAGCTCAGCAGCGCCGGTGGGAACTGCTTTTCCTGGGATGTCCAAGACCCGGTGCCTGCCCCGGCCGCCGCTGTCGCCATCCCGGCCCGGCCCCCTACTAGGGAGCCTCCCTCGGCCCGCCCAGAGACAGCGGCTGTGAGCAGACTGCACTTCCGCCTCGCTTGCTGTGTGCCGGAAGTGATTGCAGCTAGCCCGGAAGGAGAACCCTCAGCGCGGAGTCTCCTTTTGAGATGTCCGAGTGGGCCTGGATCCTCTCTGAGTCGTGGGCTGAGCTTTTTATTAACAGTACAGTAGAGTTTAGGTGTAGGCGAAATTTATTGTTGGCTCCAAGATTTCTGTCATCGCTTAAAGCTAAGGCTACGCGTTTCCAAAAAAAAAAGCAACAGGGACAGCTTTTTTTGTTGTTTGGTTTTGGGGTTTTTTTTTGAGCTGAGAATGTAAATGTGCAAAGGCCTGGCTTGTAAATGAACCCTCTTAGGGGTGTATGTGCTTGCAGCATGGCACTGAAACCATCACATCACCTCTACAGAGTCCTTACTAGACTTTAGGAGCCCCCTTGATCAACCACCGCTTTCTCTAGCTGTGTGTTCAGCAGAGGTGGAATCATACATGGTCTTCACCCCATGATGCCCACTCTCAGACCCTGAAACCCCTGGGATTACCTTAGCCTTTGAGTCGTGTGGATTGTGACATAGTTGGAAGGGTTTGTTATGTTCCATATTTGGAACTCAAGCCCTTACAGCAGACCAACTTCCATAAGACGTTGGTTTAGGTTGCCTGGTGTCAATGCATGAAATTTAGACCACTTCCCTCATCCAACCTCATAGACCAGGTTTAAGGAAGAAATGCATTGAAATTTGGACTGAGGCAGATCTGGGTACATATTTTAACTCTGCCACTCAATACATGTGAGACCATAGATCAATCACACAACCTCTCTCCTGTTGCTCTTATTTGTAAAATGATTAATAGTTAATTCATACGTCATGGAAATTGAACTTTAATAATTAAATGGGAATATGAATGTATATCAGGGGTCCATCATATAATCATTATTCAACAAATTATTTCTACCTGTCCTTGTGCTTGACTTTACCAACTACTATACTTTAAGTACATGAAATCCTGCCATTAGAAGTACATGTTTTGGCAATAATCTTGAGTTCTTAAATTCTTGGCCTTAAGTTCTGGCCTTTTTGTTTACCATTTGTCTAATCATTTAACCTTCTAAAATCTCAGTTTCCTCCCCCATGAAGTGAGATTAATGCTTGCTTCACAGTATTGCGAATGTTACATTAGATGATTACAAATAAGAGTTCTTTGTAAAGAGTATTTTGTACACATATGTGGTTAACATAGTCTTAGTCAATGATTTTGTAACAATTAACCTAGAAGCTAGACCTGCAGATGTCCAAATGGCAACTAAAAGTAGGATGAAGCTTGGCCTCTCTGCCTTCATTTTGCCTCCTTTTTTGCCTTAAAAATTGGGCTCAGATCCCTGTTCAACTGTATATAGGGATATTAATCATTTGAGGAGTATCAGTAATATGAGGTTTTAAATTTCCCCAGCCTACCCCATCCCCCTTGAAGACTGACAACACCAAGACAAGAGGTAATAATTTTCAGAATTTTCAAGGACACCTAAAATTTCCAGCTTTTACTCCAGAGCCTCACAGACCACCCTGTGGTGAGATCATATGCCTAAGTGGGAGTAGTTTCTCCATACAAAATGGGAATCAAGTTTGCTCCATCTAAGTAAGAACAGTCTTGTCAAAGGAAATGAATCACTCCTCAAAACATTAGGATTTCTCCTAAGCTATGAAACCAGGAATGAGACAGTGCTCAAACAGACCCAAGCCCCCCCGCAACTAGTCCCCTTTCTTTTGTTAATGGGCCAGTATAATACTCTTCTTCAGTTTCTCAAGCTAAAGTCTCTTCTATTTTCTCTTACTTTCCTTTGCTAAGGGGCCAGCTTGATTTTTGTCAGCAACTCAGGCTAATGTCCCTTAACCATTCTGTCTTACTTGTCAATTAAAGGTTTTTCCTGCAAATTCATAGTAATTGCTTCAGTTTTCATTTCTGTTATCATTGAAGCATGGACCTGTGTGGTCTGGTGACATTTTCTGTTTCCTTATGCACTTTGCCTTAATCCATACAATTAGTGACAATAATTATCACAAGCAAGAGATGGTACCAAACACCCCAGAAACAAAATATTTTTAAGTTTCCAGAGCAAAGAATCTTAGACATTGATGCATCCTCCTGTCCTAGCACAGGCCTAGGGTGTACACAGGTGCAAGAGACTGCTAGTGATGATAGATCCAACATGACCTCGATTCCCAGTCTCTCAAACCAGTGTACAATGAAGGCTTAAATAAAATGAGACAAGTGGTATGATTTTAGGGCTCCAGGAGGATCAAACCCTTTAGCTGAGTTCAAGACTGAGGGCTAAGACAAAGACTTCTCTGGACTGCCCATTTTTATTAGGTCCAAAACAAGGGGCAGGGAAACTGAGGGAAGCACAGGCAATGAGCAATGAGAAAACCTTGGGAGTCACTTCAAGGATGTCTCCAAGTAATGGATCATGTCAGTTTAGGAGAACTGTCTTATCATGAAGACATGTAGGAGTGAGACTGTAGGGAGTAATTTCTGCAGCTGTAGTCTCTATTTAATTGATGTCTGAGCCAAGCATCTGCAGATGTGGCCTTATCTTGCCTTTTGAGGTATCTCTGGCCTCAAAGGCCGCCATAGGCCTCAGCAGGACCAGTGATTCATAGAGGTTGACTTACTATGAATCAGCTCCTGTCCCCAGGCAAGGGGCGGAGGTCTAGGACAGACTCACAGATAAACATAGAAAGCCAAGTAGTTAATTTTAAATCCTGCTCAGAGCCGCTTTGTAGTGGTCTCCAACACCCACACAGGTTTGGAGAGCTCAGCATAGAGAGCATGTGTGTCTTGCTTCCCTGTGGAGCTGGGGAAGGTGGCCAGTTTCATGGAGTTTCCCTCCATGTAACAATGAGTCTACAAAAATAGAATAGCTGTGGTCACAGGAGCATAGTCAATAAAGACCCTAGTTGGTGCAGGAAACAGCCAAATATTATTCTTGGGCACAGCAACAATTCAGAGAAATTCAGAGCTAACAGATTTTATGGTCAAAATGAGGAAGAAGTTCTATAGTCTGTGGCCACTCAAGACCACAAGACTAAGAATGAGAATGACTCACTCTGCAATCAGTGCATGAACGTAGCAGACTACTCCTTTTTCCCATCCTGAGCTCTGCTATGTCAGCACCCACCACTCACAAGAGGGAGAAGAGGCCAGATGGCCTGACATAATCCCGAACTGTGATTCTGATATCCAGCACAGGAGGAATTCAAATGAAGTTTGGTTGTAGGACTCCTAACTATTTCCCACAAAGAATTTGTGAACTCAAAGTTTCAAGGGGGATAAGATGTGGGAAAGACACATTTGCAAGTAGAAGATCACAGCAGTTCCAGAATGGGTGATTCTGGGACAAGATGCCGTATATTGTATATCTCATCCCTCAAAAGAAAAGCTTCTCCAAAGCAGGACTATATTGGCATCATCTCCTTGCCATTGTCTAACACGGTACCTGCCTCAGAGCACACAGTGACTTTGTATTGAATGAGTGAATGGTGACAGGTTATGGAGGCAGGGAGCAGGGAGGGTGGAGAAGCAAGCCTTGGAGGTGGACTTTCCTCATCCAGAGTTCTGGCTCTGCCCATGGTGCTGACGGGATGCTGGCCACAGGGTGGCCTGTGAATTCTCTTCCTGTGAGTTCTCCTCTCAGGCTGTACTGAGCTCCAAGAAGAAGCTGCTGGGTAAAGATTTGTGCACCATACATACCTCTCAGACCGCCTACATAAAGGACCACTTCATCTCACTTTATTGGCAGGAATAAACCAGAGATCAATCTTTTCTCTGTTAATTTAGAAATCAGAACCCAGAAACCATGTGTCATTCAGAGATGACTCCATCATGAGGCAAACGACTCTTAAAATTGTCCTTAGTCTATATCTCTTAATGTGATCATCTGGAAAGATCTTACACACATGTGATTCCTTTGATTGAAAAATTTAAAAATAGGTCAGGTGTGACCCATCCATCAATCGATCGGGCTAGGGATGTAACTCAGTGCAGAGGTCCTGGTTCAATCCCCAGTAGATCAGGAGGGAGGGAGGAGAGAGGAGGAAAGGTTAGATAGACAGAACGGGTTCTGCTTCACCCTCTGATCTCTGGCAACAGATCTTCAACCCACCCTGACAGATTCACAGGAGGTGCCAAGATTGGATAAAACAAGACACGCAGATGTTGATGTTGCCTGGCTTCTTCTCTGCTTGAAATTCTTTCTGACTTAAAAACAATTTAAGGTGAGTATCCATTTATACTCATTATTAACCCCTAGGAGAACAATGTCAAAATCAATCCCCACCACCACCACTACCACCACCAAAAAAAGTCACCTTTTTTTTTTATTTAAAGAGAAAAACAAAACTAAACGAAGCAAGACAGTAAAAAGCTAGAAGTAATACAGAATTTCAAGAGAAAAAAATATACATTAAGAGTTCACTAGTTAATATATCACACGTTGTCATCTTACAAACAGCTGTCCAGATTACAAAATTAAAGCATACAAAGTGGAGATTAATACAGTGAGATTGCAGTCAGTTCTGTTCAATGATCCAAGAAAAACTCAGCAATATGGTTCTCTATCCTACACATTTAAATAAACTTGCAGTTATATCCTTTAGATCAAAAAGTCACCTTTTGAAACCACCAAAACATTATGTAAATGTATAGTCTTTCCAGTGAATAAATTAACAGGCAAGGTGGAAACTATCCTGGTGATTCCAATTTCATCTGTCTTCTTAAGTGTTTGCAAAGTGATACCGTAGCTTAACATTAGCAGAGGAGATAGAAGATCGGTTTTTGCTTGAAATTAGATACCTGAGTACTCATTACCCAAGATTAAACTGTAGTGCTTACATCGAATTAACTATGTATCTTGTAAACCTGAATAGACACATACTTGCCATGCCAGGTACAGTTTGTTTTTGAGCTGGAAATACTTATTTCGAAAACTTACTTGTTTTAAAAATCTTATAAACTTTCTTTTTTCTTTTATTTTCTTTCTTTCTTTCTTTCTCTTTTTTTTTTTTTTTTGAGACAATGTCTCCCTATGCACTTTAGGCTAGCCTTGAATTCATTTGAAGCTCAGGCTAGCCTCGAATTTGCAGCAATCCTCCTGCCTCAGTTTCCCAAGTGCTGGGAATACAGGCATCCACCACCATGCCTAGCTAGACAGATATTTCATAATGTGCAGACGGTGAAAGAAAATACTAGGTCATGTTTGAGGTGTTATAACCCATTTACTCTCAACAATTATGGGCATTTACAAAGCTAGCTTCGAAGTCTATTAAATTATGAACTACTCTACTATGCTATAAACTAAAAGCATGAAAGAACAAGAATCAACATTAAAGCTAGAGTTAAAAGTAATAATAAAGCCAGAATTGGAGCCATATTTTATAAACAGTTAGGAAAAAATTATTTTTCAGCTCTATAACCAATGTTGCAGTTTAGGCTTTCATTTTAAAGTCAAAATATTCATTTTATTATTGAAAACTGTTTTTCAGTACCAGGGATTGCACCCAGGGATTTCATATAGTGAGCTACAGCCCTAGTCCCTTTTTCCTTTTCCTTTTGAGACAGGATCTCACTAAATTTCTCAAACTTGCAATTCTCCCAGAGTACTGGGATTACAGATGTGTGCCTGGCCACGAGACTGTGTCTTGTGTGCTAAGTCTGTGGTCATCTGCAAGTCAGGTAAACATATGGAAGGCAAGTATACAAGTAGGGCTTTTTACATGCTTGTTAAGCCTTTTCCTGGATTGTTAGAACTTCCTTTGGAGAGTTTCCAGTTTTGATTTGATTCTGGATATGTTATATTTAAAAAGTCTTTCTAGAATGCAAAATACAAATGATTAAAAAATAAGCAAGATTTCAGAAACAGAACACTATATAAGGCTTTCATTAAATTACAGTCTGAGATGTGTAAGCTTCTTGGAATCAGAATTTATTGCTCCTTTGGCGTAGTGACTATAATTGGGTAAATTCTACATCTTTGCTCTTAATTTGCTTTAGTCATTGTACTTCGCTTTTTAAAAAGGCTCCAATCTTAGCTCATTGTTCTGTGATCCTCCCTGTTAGATGGAGCCATTGTTGATGTTTCACTATATATCGTTTTATTATTTTTTATGAGATACATGCTGATCGTGACCTGTTTTGTTTTGTTTAAGACAGGGTCTCACTAAATAGTTCAGGTTGGCCTTGAACTCATTAAGTAGACCCAGTGAGCTCAAATTTGTGGCGGTCCTCCTGCCTCAGCCTGCTGAGAGCTGGCATTACAGGCATGGGCTACCACACTTGGTAAATATGACCCATTAAAATTTTTTTTAACTTTTTTGAGACGGGGTCTCACTTTATAGTTCAAGCTGGCCCTGAACTCACTATGTAGTCCTGCTGACCTCAGACTCGTAGTGATCCTCTTGCCTCAGCCTCCCGAGTCTGGGATTACAGGCATGTACCATCACACTGGGCTGTGATTCATTTTAAAACAAATTATTTTGTACCAATCTATGTAGTAACTGAACTCAGGTAATATTTTTAAATTTGTTTTTAAATGGCTGTGGTGGCATACATCTGTCATCCCAGCACTATGCGAGGCTGAATCAGGGGGAATCCCAAGTACAAGCCTCCCTACCTCTTTTTCCAGAAAAAAACAGGAAGGACTGGGGTTGCTCAGTGTGAAGGCTTTGGGTTCAGTTTCCACTACCACAAACAAAAAAGGGGAAAAAATCTGCTGGGGAGGAATCACAAAATGAAATGAAAATAAAGGACCAAAACCCTAGCATACAGTACCATGTAAAAATGTGACTGTTCTAAGAACTAAGGCCCCTGGGGGAAGTGCATGGAAGAGGAAGGTCCTCCTCTTTTCTGTGTTTTGAAGGATTCACAAGTCCATCCGCGAGACATTTCCATGTACCCAGGGAAGCTGGCAGGGGAGGGGAATTAGCCAGCTTCCTGCCAGAAATCGGCACAAGGGTGGAGACGACTGTGTGGGGAACAGGAGGCAGGGACAGGCACAAGAGAGACTGCCAAGAAATTAGGTCCATTCTTTGGCTTTCCCCAAGAGAGTTTCATTTTAAAGCTGAATTTCCCAATTTTGACTCATTTGAAAACTACCTTTATGGGTTTTGTTGATCCAAATAGTACCATGTATAATATCACTTCATAGTCTTCAAACTGATACGTGTTCAAAAACCTGAGCTGGCACATGTGATCCTCCTGCCTCATCCTCCCAGAATGCTGGGGTCGCAGACATGGGACACCAGCCCGGCTGAGATCTCTTTATGTGACCCCTACTTTGAAAAATGCTTTAACTACGACCTTCCAAGAAACAAAGGTTCAAATCTCACTAGCTATTTAGCCTTTGGGAAGCAGTCTTGGAGATCCTCAATGCAGTGAGGTTAGCTTTGGGTTAAGGTGAGAGGTTTTACACAGACATGCAGGAGAATGCCTCAGTGACTCCTAAGAGTCCTCAGCTCTCAGGGTCAGCGAGAGAACAGCTCGGCCGGCCACCTGAAAACTAGCCTAATGACAATTTCCTGGCTGGGGCCACCCAACTTTCACGACAACCCTGTAACAGGACCCTTGGGCTGGCCTGCAGGTAAGGCAAAGCTCGGTGTCACCCGTTCCAGAGGTGTTGCCTAAGAGCCAGGAAAATGGTGGCAGAAGGTTGGGTGAGGACAGGGGTCAAGAGCCTGTTTTTCTAAGAAGGTGGGGAGGAGGACGGAGGGAGAGAGGGAAGGGAGACAGAGAGAAGGGAGGGACAGAAAGATGCACTTGACAGTGGGTCTGTTTGCGCTGAGCCGGCCTAACCTAACCCGAGGCCTGGCTCTGAAGCCTTCTCCAGCTTCTGCCCTTTGGTCTTGTCCTGTGACTTAGATCTGTCTTGTGGCAATGGAGCCCCTGTGGCAGAAAGAGTGAGTTTATGCTGGCTGAAAATCTCTTCCTACTAATTTCAGAGTCAGATGAATCTCTAAGAAAAAATTCTAGCTTGATAATGCCATTTGTTTATGACACTCCTATTTTTAAACCCGATTTCCTGCCTCTTCGCATACAATGTCAGTGTGGCTTGCCCAGTGTTTGAGGTGACCTGAGATCTTTGGAAGGCTCTTTGATTCCTACTCACTTAATTAAGTACCCCCTCCCCTTTTTTTTTGCAATACTGGGACTGAATCCAGTGCCTTCACACTGAGCTACATTCCCACCCTTTTAAAGAATGTTTTATTTTGAGACATGCTCTTGCTAAATCACTAAGTTACCCAGATTGTCTTGAACTTGTGATACTCCTGCCTCAGCCTCCCAAAGTGCTGAGGTTATATGTAGGTGCCGCCACACCCAAGTGGGTTTCTCAACCTTGCCAGGGGGAAAAAATAAAACACACCCACACATCAGCCAATGACAAGAAGATGTCTTTATTGGGTGATTTTTAAAGGCATTGCCTGTAGGGGACCTTACAGGAGTCATCAGGGCAAACCCATCACCAAAAAAAGCCTTGGAGTGTGTCTTATTTCCTCACTTGAGAAATGAGCAAATCTCAGAAGCATTTTGGGGGGAATTAGTGAATTAGTTTGTGGTAGGATGTGGGGTTTCCCATTCCCAAGACTTTGGAGGCCTTCCAGCTGAGTGTCCCTTTCTCTCTGTTCTCCACTGACTGGGGTTTTAAGAATGCACCATTTCCTGGAATTCTAAAACAGAAGAGGTGAGCATAGGGTCAGTGAGGGTGGTACCTCACAGAGGCATTGTCACCATAAGAGCTCTGAAGAGGGAAGGGAATGATAAAGCACATTCTCATACAACAAGCATGGTCTCCTTGGAGGACACAAAAGGAAGAAAACTGGGCAGGATATCTCGATAGCATCCTGTCTCTCTGCAAAATTTTCCTTACCAAATACCTTCATCTTTAGAACTCACTATCCCCCAATCAATTTCTGGATAATTGTGTTGCAATCTGTGAATGTTTACTTTTTAGCCTGGCCAATTGAAGACAAAAAGGAGAGGTCTTCTTTCTCTAGTCTGTGGCAGTATATTGCATTTTTAAGAAATAAGAAGGTGGATCTTTGAACCAACTTTTCTCTAGTGCAATCTAAACTTACCCCTGGAAATTTATAGTGCTAAAAGAAAGGTGGTGGTAACAATAAGATGTTAGTGCTGCAGCTCGAAAATTAAAAACTGGGATTTACTTTATGTTTGTTATTATTTTTTTCTTTGTTGCAGTGTTGAGGATTGAACCCAGGGCCTTACACATGCTAGGCAAGTGCTCTACCACCGAGCTGTATCTCCAGCCTATTGTACTTGTTGGTAAGCTTGGTCTTTTTGGAAGTCTTTCATGGTTATGTATAAATAAATCAATCCTCTCATGCCTAAACTATTTTTCTGAGCTATCCATAGACACTGCATTAACCCCTGTTGTAGTAAGCTATAGTGATGTATTTTGAAGGATCTAAGGTAACACTTTCAGATTTCAAATTAGTGTCACCAACAGGACCACCCTAGGTTCTCCTGAATTGGCACAAAGTCCTTGAAAAGCATATCAGCAACATGGCAAAATACAGTGATAATAATTACACTGGTGATAACATTTCAATCTAGGGCTTTGCACATGGAAGGGTCCATAAGTGCTGTCTTCTTTTTTTAAAAAATATGATCCTTTTGGTGGGCTAATGACTAATAAAATGTATATACTTTGTTTAAACCCTTGAAAGCTGAGAGGTTTTGCATGCAAGGCAATAAACCCTTTGATGTGAGACACACTGGAGAATGCCAGCCAGTCCCTTCGTGGGGGCCTCACATAAAGCCTTCACATTACTTTCAAGGTATATCAGAGTATCTTGCAGGTAACTGGCCAGGTAATTAGCTGGTGTCCTCATCAGGTGAAGGATTTCTTCTAGTTCATAGACAATGACCAGAGGACGAGCTGCTATTGAATACCCTGGGCATCATGCCAGATTTTTGCTGCTGTTTTTAGCAGTGCTAAAAATGGAGCCCAGGGCTTTATGTATGCTGAGCATATGCTATGCAATGAGCTATCGCCCAGCAGTGTCAGAATTTTTATTCTCAAAGTTGGCATCCTCACTTTCGGTACCATTTTACAGATAAGAAGACTGAGGCTCAGCAGGATTGAGAAAGGGAGCTTTAACTATCTGCCTGATACCATGGCCCAAGTCCCCACGCCTGCTCCCTGAGCTATGTGTTCTAAACTGTTAGTTGTGGACATACCATCAGCCCCAATTTTTCCGTCTCCATCATTATCTGCAGCGGCCATCAAAGATTTGGTTTCTGACTCGGTGAGTTCTCTAGCACCACTCTCAAATTTCTGGAGGAAAAACCTACAGGATAATAAAGATGGATGGGGATTTTCTGAAAGACCACTCATCTCTGTGCTTTCCTCCCTCCCTCCCTCGCTTCCTGCTTTCTGTTTAGCCCATCCCCTCTTTCTAGTAGTCATAGTAGTCAGTCAACGCCTTAGCAAGTAATGATTTGCTGTGCTGTAGAAACTAGTGGCAGGTACTTATTTTTAAGTCTTTTTTCCGGTACTGAGGATTGCACTCATAACCTCACACTTGCCGGGCAGGCACTGTGCCACTGAGCTATATCCCTGCTCTTATTTAAGAGTCTTTAAAGCGTTTTGTTAAGTCTCTTTGGCAAAGGAATGTCGTAAGCTAAGGACACTGCACCTAGGTCTTCAGCACCTTGTTTGGCGTTTTGTGTGAGGTTATTTACACATAAATGTGAACAACTCGGCAAAGTCCACACGCTCTGTCCTCTACTTCCACAAGGTGCAGCCAAAGGTTCCCACTGTGTAGAGCAAACTGGGCCCCTGCAATCCCAGAGGCCTAGCAATGTCGGGGTGCTGGGGACAAAGCTTACTTAAGCTCTTCTTCATCCAGGTATCCACTCTGGTCATTGTCTATGAACCGGAAAACGTCTTTCACCTGACTGGCTGACATCTTGGAGAGGCCTGATGTCTGGAAGAATTTTTGGGGCTCAAAAGTGTCTGGATCTGAAGAACAGAGAATGGACTGGTTATTTTGATACTCCTTGAAGCACATGCTATGTTTGGGCCATGGTGCTGAAGACAAAGATTATTAAATTGGCTTTCATAGCATCCTTGAACTACGGGAGTGTGTGGCTGGCCCAAGACCTTGAGATGGTCAAGGTAGGCGACTGTGGTGTCATCTGCTATTCTCGCTCCCCCAGCTGCCCTCTCCATTTAATTCTGCCCAGTTTTCCTCTCTCCTCTGTCTCTCTCCCCTCCCCAACAGGCTGTGCATCTGAATCCTGGCCTAAATGGTGGAGGAAATGCAATCATTGGATTCAAACAGGCTTAATTTACTCTATCCCCACTTCTCCTAAGTTTTTTTCACCTTACAGTAATGTGGTCACCTGCTCAGTCCCATATTTTCATCACTATCGGTATTTAATTCCAAGCAATTTCATCCTCTGATTCTGTGATCACTCAGCAAAGTGCACATGCTCATTTCCATTGCTTCCCTGGAGGTGGGAATATGGGAGACACCCACAGCTGGCCCCCAGCCCTTTACCTTGGCATTCCTGCAGGGCAGCGGCAATGTCATCAGCACTGAGCACGTCTGTGATGCTCATCTTCACCTAGTCACACAGGAGAATGAGAAACGGCAGACAGGAGCACACACATCCAGGGAGACACACGGCCCGTGTTCACCCACTATGTTACTTATATGCTTTTTTTTCTTCTTTCTTTTCTTTCTTTCTTCCTATCTTCCTTCCTTTCTTCTTTCCTCTTTTCTTCCTGGAGACTGAACCCAGGACCCTGTCCATGCCAGCAAGTACACTATCACTGAGCCACATCCCAGCCCCTGTCTAGAATTTTTTAAATACTATAGACTCTTGTGTATGCAGTGAGGAAACAGAATATCCAAGCAAAACCCAGACAAGGGAAAAATCCCGGCCTTCTCACTCACTGCTTTCTCCTGAATAGATTCCAAAGATGACATTTTTAAATACCACCCAGAGAAATACTTGATTCAGTTTTCTTATAAAAATCATGTACACATAATCAATCACTTACACAGGCAGCTGCAAAACACTAAAAATAAACCATGTTGTAAACGTAACAGCATCCTGATAGATCAGCAAAGAAATGTTGCAAATTCCATGTGGGAAAAGAGACAGCGTGGGCTACAGCTGAGCCATGTGGAAGCCATGCCCGTCCTGGAGGGTGGGACTCAGATGAAGGGACACGACCAGAGGTGAGAGTCCTCTGGGCATGAAAGCCATAGAAAAAGAGAAATCTGAGGGCAACACGCGCAACCTCACTTGAATGCTTGGAGAAAAGAAGACCTTGGGGTCTGGCAAAGCCCAGATACTTACCCTTTTACGTTTTCCCCCAAGAAGAGTCAGGGGGAAAAACAGTTGAAAGAGTCAAACACAGATGTGCTTTTGCTACCTTCCTGACCTACCTTATATAGGATCGAAAAAGTGATAGTTACAACCTCTTAGATTTCCTTTTCAGGGATCAAGTGGATGTAGATCGGATGTCTTACCTTACTAATTAAACTTTTTTTTTCTATTTATAGCTCAAGGGACCATGGGTGGGAACAGCCAACTTTAAAAAACAAACCTCAACAAACCTTAACTAAGGTTTCAATTCTGCAAACGAGCCCTGCTGGCAAAGAGGGGAGAAGACACTAGAGGCCCGGTGAAGAGGGGGAGGTGGTGGCTGAAAGGAGATCACCACACACAGGGGTGCTCTGTAAACTGGAAGGGTTCCCCAGATGTTAGTGGCCGTCATTGAGGCAGGTCTGTTTTCAGCTGCCGAAACTGTGGGTGTGCAAGGTTGACCTCAATCCAGGATTGAGGAGCTCAGAGTCAGCAGCCTGCAGTGGACACACAGGACTTGTCCAGCAAAGGTGGTGGCTCTGGCCAGGTGACTTCCCTACAAACACCTTGGCTTTGATGTTTCCCAGCTAAATCTGCACACTCAAAGGACAAAAAGGAGACAAGAAGGTAGCTCAGTGATAGTGTGTGCCAGGCTCTGGATTTGATCATCAGCACCAATAAGAAGAGAAAAATGGGAGAAAATCAAACAAACCCTAAACTAATATTTATAGAAAAGCTTTTCATTTTCAGCAAATATATATTGTCTCTCTATGTGGTTGTCACTATGCTAGACTCTTATTTCTTTGTTTCTTCTCCTGTTTTCCTTCCTTCCTTCCTGTACTCAAGCATGGCAAGTGAATGCTCTATTGCTGGGCTACTTCCCCAGATGGGTACTTCTGTTTTATATTATTATTGTAATACACACATACAGAACCATGTGTGGTGGTGCACACTTATAATCTCAGTACTCTAGAGACTGAGGCAAGAAAATTGCAAGATCAAGCCTAGTCTGGGTAACTTAGTGACACAGCAAGATACTATCTCAAAAAAAAAAAAAAAGAAAAGAAAGCCTGGGTTCAACACCACACACACAAAAAAAGAACAAAACTACCCCCCCCAAATCCCACATAACATGTACCATATTAGCCATTTAAGTGTCCATACAGTACAATAGTGTCAGTGATATACTGTTATTGTGTAACAGACCCCTGCAACTTTTTCATTCTGCAGCAGTGAAGCTCTGAACCCCCTGAACCTCTCACTCAGCTCCTATCAACCACCATTCCACTTTCCAAGGGAGCCCGACCACTCTAGGTCCCTCATGTGGCTGGAACCACACAGCGTTTCTCTTTCCACGCTTGGCTTGTTTCATTCAGCATAGTGTTCCTGGGGGTTGTCCCTGCTGTGGCATGTGAGAGAATCTCCTTCTTTTCAAAGGCTGGATTCCAGTTTGTCTATTTTAAGTATACACATAGGTCCCGGAATTCTAGAGAGGGGCCTCGGACTTTCCCTGGATGCTACCAACTCAAAGCGCATTTTCAAGTGCCCCAAAATATATTCCTTACCTCCACCCAGCACTGTATGTGTCTTGGTGCCACCAAAGAGTAGTTTATCACAAAGGTACCTAAAACATCTCACAGACTACCAAACCTCAGGCCTGCACCATATCCAGCTTGCTCACATTTTATTTTCTATTATAAGGTGTGATCAAAATATATGGTGCCTTATTTTAGATTTTAAAAAGAATTTATTACAATAGAAGACACTGCCTTTAAACTCCTTCAAACTATTCCCCCTTACCTCCAACACAATTATCCCATCATTCCCACCACTTTCTGAAGCGGTTCTGGAAATCCTCTTTCCTGAGTGTGTGATAAAAAAAAAATACAGCAAGTGCTGCTGCTGAGCGCCATCCAACAGAAAGGCAGACTCAAAAAACACAACAGTTCATCCATGTTATTATTCACTGGCTCTGGAACTGTGAAATGTCTGACCTCAAAGTCAAAATGACCATGAAAAGGAAATGTTTTGAATCAGTTCAAGACATGGAGGTAGGCACAAAATGACAACACAAGATCTAGTCAGCCTGCTTTTCCCCTGCGCCAGTGGCAGCCATGGGCCAAGAAAGGAACCAGGAAGCGAGGCTGCCTTTCCCACGAGCCAGCGACAGCTGTGGGCCAGGAAAAGAACCAAGAGGTCAGCCTTCTCTTCTCGTGAGCTAGCTGGTGTCCGGGTTAGGAGACAAGAAGATCCCCTCTTTCCCAGGTAGGCAACTGGCTGATTTGGAGGATCACAGGCTGGGATGAGAGCAACTGAGGTACAAAACACAGCTTAATGCTAGTACTGATACTGACTCTGCAAGCCTGGGCCCAGTAGTCTATGCAATATAGCCACTATGGGGGATTTTCTTCTGCCTTGTTTTTGAAATTCAATACTGTTGTCATTTTTGATTTGTTCTGTTTTATTCCTTTCAAAATTAAAAAAAAAAAACATAAAAAGAAAACTTCCAGAAGGGGTTCAGAAAGTGGCAACAGTGATAAGTGTGTTCGAAGCCAAGAGGAGTATTTTGAAAGGAATTGATGGCAATGCCTCTTTTACTGTAATAACTTTCTAAATCTTAAGCGTTCACAGTATACATTTTGATCACCCCATGTGTCTAGCACAGACCTGCCGTGTGTTGGATGCTTAGTAATTCTTTGATAAAAGAACAGATTAAACCAGTAATAAGAGTCTTGAAAACATTGTTCTCATCCCAGCACCAACCTATCCAGCTCTTTAAAAATCTTCTGAAAATGTCTCAAGAGTTTTGAACTAGATTTCCAACATTAAGTTGCCATAGAAACCAGCAGAACACTTTCTTTCCGAGGAAGTGTTTACAATTATCCATAGAGACAGAAATATGAAAGAAAGCTGCCCATTTAAATGAAAATATCACAGGAATTAAAGCAGACACTTCAGATATTCTTGCTTTTTTTTTTCTGATAGAAAATAGAGGTGACAATGGATGTGGTAGCACACACCTGTAATCCCAACACTCAGGAGGCTGAAGCAGGAGGGTTATTAATGAGTTCAAGACCAGCCTGGGTTACAAAGTGAGCACAAGGCCAGCCTGAATTGCATAAACAGATCCTATCTGAAAAAGACGAAAGAAAGAAAGAAACAAAGAAAGAAAGAAAGAAACAAAGAAAGAAAGAAAGAAATGACAGAAATCCAGTAAACATGCTTGGAATGGCCATAATTGGTTAAGACCATTTATTTGGCTTTCTCCAGTTGGCCTAGGTAGAATCAGAGACAAAAATTAGGACGCTGAGCCAGGCATGATGGTGCACATCTATAATCCCAGAACTCTGGGAGACCAAGGAGGGATGATCACAAGCTTGGACAACTGAGCCACTTAGCAAGATGCTTTCTCAAAATAAAAAGCTAAAAAAAAAAAAAAAAAAAAGGTTTGCAGCTCAGTGTGAAGGCCCTGGGTTCAATCCCTAGTACAAAAAAAATAATAATAATTAGAGAAGCTGTCAGTTATTGATGGAGTCCTGGCTCTCTGGGACTGACAGTTGCATTGGTTAATGTTTGGCTTCCTGGACTGTTTGCTAGAGACAGCGACCTGACTTCCTGCAAGTTCAACCTGTAGATAACAGGCTCATTTCCTCGGCTGGCTGCTGTAGATACTGGGTCAGCATTCTATTCTGGTCATCATCCAACTTTGTATTCAGTCT